CTCCTGTACCACCCGGACCGGGGCCCTGGCTGGGGAGGAGCCTGCAACCCAGGCATGAGCCCTTGACCGGAATCAAACCCGGGACCCTTCGGTCTGCAAGCCGACGCTCTATCCACTGAGCCAAACCGGCAAGGTCTTGAGGAGCTTTCCAAAGAGAGAGAGCCTGAGCCCAGCACAGCTGCCCTGCCCCCTCTCCGCCCTCCCCCTCCGCCCCCCCCCCCCGCCCTCCCAGGGGGGCAGGGGACTCAGCCCTCCTCTCACTGGTTGGAAGCAGCCTGGTCCCAGGCTGATGATTGGGGTACAGAGAGCGAGCAGCCAGGCCCCCCCAGGGGGCAGGTGTGACCCAGCCGGGATGTGGATGGACCCTGGGGAGCCAGCCGCCCCCTCCCTCGTCGGCGAGGGCCCGGGCTCTGATGGCCGCCGCCTCTGACTTTCTATGAACGGAGAGTCCCTCTGAGTTACGTAACGCAGCCGGGCGGCCCTGACGCCCGTGCGGCTCCGGTTCCTGGAAGGGGCTCGGAGGGGCGAGTCCAGAGCCCTGCGTCTCCCCGCGCCCGGCTGGCTGGCCGGCAGCGGCAGGAGAAACCTCGCGAGCCGGTCTTGCAGCATGCGATCTAGATCAGGATATATTTGGCTTCCGGCTCAGCTTTGCATCAGCTTCGTCTCCACTGACTTGTCGCCCTTTGCCGGCCACGTGCACGTGCAGGGAGGCAGGCGCCTCTTACGTAACCGGTCCAGCAGCCGCCCAGAGGGCGGGGGGGTGGAGGGGTGAGGGGGGGACAGGGCGGTGCCCATGGGTCCGCCAGGGTCTGGCCTTCGCCCACTGCACGGTGCCCCGGGCCGAGCTGTGCCCACCTGCTCCGGGTGCCCTGAGTCTGCCCGCAAAGAGCCCAAGAGGATGCGGGGCTCGGACATGCATCCAGCTCACTCCTGCCAACGCCCTGCTGGTGCCCGGGTCCGAGGGTGGGCACTCCGAGGCCCAGGCTGGGCGCTGCCGCTCCCACCAACATCCCCACCACCATCCCAGTGCCCGGCCAGGAGGCAGGAAGTGCGGGGAGAGCAGGTCCCTCCCTGTCCGGGCCCAGAGGAGGCCAGTCCTGCTCCCTCCCAAGGCGTCCTCACGGCCTGGAGGCCCAGAGGCCCGTGATTCAGGTAAATGGGCAGGAGCTGCCACCCTCCTCCGCCAGGACGAGGGTCCCGGTGGGGCTGGGTGGGCGGGGAAGGGGCGCCACGCGGTGGGAGGACCTGAGCTGCCTCCTGAAATGGCGACTCATCCCAGCATCCCCGTCCCCGCTCAGAGCCACAGCCTCCACGCTCCCGGGCTCCGCTGCGACCCATTTGGAAAGAGCAGCGGCCGGCGGGCAGGAGTCTCCGGGAGGGCTGCCTGCGGGCGGGCGGACGGACGGCGTCCCCGGTCCCGCCCTCCGCAGCCCCGCTCAGCCCCCGCCCTGGGCCTCTCCAGGCCGGTGACAGTGGCCACGGGCCCCGTGGCCAGCCTCACCGGGTCCGTGTGCTCCGCAGCTGCGAAGTGTCCCAGGAAGGAAAAGAGGAAGAGAGAATGTTGTCACACAGCCCCTCCCACGGCCACCCCCACCCCCACCCCCGGGGCCTCCCCGAGAGGAGGGGCCAAGGACCTCCGGGAGGAGGACAGACAGCTGCTCTGAGGGGCCAGGCGGGAAGGAGCCGTGACTTTGGCTGCCACTGAACTCCTGAGGACGACTGTCAAACCTCGGGTGAGGAGCCCTGGCAGAGCAGCGCCTGGAGGTCAGCAGCTCAGTAGCCTCCCTCACACCCTCTCCCACCCCCCCACCCCCACTGCCTAACTCCACTGCCCCCTCCATGCCCCTGGCGCTCACAGAGGGGCTCCATCCAGGGCAGCCGCTCTGGGCAGTCCCAGGAGACACCAGCGTCCCTGTGCACGAAGGGAGAGACCTTGAGGGCTTTGCTACAACTGCCCCCAAAGGCGAAAAAAGCAGCTTGAAAAGACCGTCCGTCTCCCCGCTGGAGGGAGAGGCTCCCGCAGGCTCCACTCCAAGCCGCGCAGCACTGAGCCGGCTGCGTCTCAGAAACCAGCAGGAGCGGCCCTTGCTCAGGGCCCACGGGTGGCCCTGCCTCTGAGCTCTGCCTCCGGCTCAGGCGCAGGCTCAGGGGGCCTGTCACAGCCAGGCCGGGCCTGGCCAGCGGGAGGCCGCCCCGCCTGCAGCCCAGCACAGGGAGCGCCTTCCCCTCCGGAGCAGGCCTGGGGTCCTGCCTGGCGGGAGGCAGAGCCGCAGACCCTGGGGGGAGAGGGGGACAGCTCCCACATGACAGCGCTCTGGCCGGTCAGCCTCCCGGACCCACTTCCAGAAACAAAAGGTCAAACTTCCGCGTCCCCCACAGGACTGTTCCCTAAGGCAAAGCTGGGGAGGCGCCCCCTGGGGAGGCTGTGGGCCCCGCCGGGGAGCCTGAGCCACAGAGCGTCCCTCCAGTCCCTCCGCGCAGCGACTGCTCTCCCTCACCGACACACGGCTCTCTCCGCCTGGCACCGTGTCACAGATTAAAACAAACATGTCTGTGCCGGTAGCTGGCCGGCAGGCGGTCCTCAGGGGCCGGGGCCGGGGCTCCAGAGGGGCTCAGCGTCCGACGGGGACCCCCAGATCCTTCCCCGGGCCGTTTCCGGCTGAGACCCGGAGGCAGAGGGCGAGGTGCCTGGCTGGGTCACCCACAAAGCCTCTGCTCCGTGCTGCCGGCGTCCAGAGCCTTATCTAGTCCGAGCACACACCGAGGTCCAGGCCCAGCCAATGCCAAAGCCGGCGCCTCACCGTTAACCTCTCAACGCCCAGATGGCAGAGCAGACAAGCCGGGCTCCTGCGGGAGGGACGCTGCTTTCCAGAAAAAGGCCAATGACAGCGTTTGACAGTTTGCATCGCTGCTGTCAGCAGCCGTGACCCGGGACAGGACGGAGCATCGTCCCCTCCACGCGGGGAGCCGGAAAACGGTTGGCGAGCTCCGTCCTCTTCTGGTTTCTCAAAACCAGGACGCGTCCGGGTCCTCCCTGGGGCTCACTCCCCCCGCTCTGGCCGGCAGCGGCTGTGGGGGCGGCTGGGCAGCCGGCGGGGCTCGGCTCCTCACCCTCCCCAGCGCGGGAGCGCAGTGCATCCCAGCGGCCGGACTGGGAACCGCACTGGGCGCCCTCCGCCTCCACCTCCGTCCTCCCCGCTCTCCCCGCGACCTGGGACCCACACGCACCAGCTCCCAGGGGCCCCCAGCGAGAGGGTGACGGCCCAGGGGCGCCTTCCCCGCGAAGGGATCGCTGTGCCGAGCTGCGCCCTGTGCGCCGGAGGCAGAGGCGGGCGACCCCGCAGGCGGCAAAGTTTGCGGAAAGGAAAGGGGTCTCTCCGGGCACCCCCGCCGCGGGCTCCAGGCTCCCAGTCCTCCCAGCTCGCCCCGGAGTCCCGGGCACAGGCCGGCCCCAGGGCGCGCCCCTGGCGGCTCAGGGGGCGGATGGGGGCAGGGAGGACCGCGCGCCCCCGGATCCCCCGCGGCTCCGGCCCCAGCTGCCCGCCAGCTGTGCGCTCCGCCGCCCGAGGTCACCCGCCGGCAGCTGGGGAGGCAGCTGGGAGCCCGGAGGCCGCTCCGCCCGGAGCCCGGAGGCGGAGAGCCGGGCGCAGAGGCGGTTTTGTTTTGCTTTCCTCCAACTCCGCCCGCCCAGCTCTCTCCCTCCCTTTCCCCGGCCGCCCGGCCCCCGCCCTGGGTCCCCGGCCCGCCGCGCCCCGCGCCCGGCGCCGCGCTGGGGGCCGGGAGGAGGCACAGGGCGGCCCGGACACTGCGTGGCGGAGCCGCCGGCCGCCCGCGCCCCTGCCCGGACCCCGGGCGCCCGGAGTCCCCGGGAGAGCCGGCCGCTCCCTGCGGGGCGCTGAGCTCCGAGCTCCGGACCGGGGCCCCCACCTGGCTCCCCGGGCACCCGTGGCCGCTCGCGGGGGGCGGGGAGGGTCCCCGAGGAAAGCCCCTCCGCCCGGCCGGCACCCACGCACCCCCGGCCCCCGCGCCCCGGGCCGCTCACCTGAGTCCGAGGAGCTGCTGGATCCACATGGTCACGTTCCGCGAGCGGCGCTCAGACCGCGCTCGCCCCGGCCATCCGCGCGGCTCCGCTCCGCTCGCTCCGTCCCGCGGCGCCGGGTCTGCTCGGTCCGCCGCCGCCGGCCGCGGGCGCAGCGGTCAGAGCGCGGCCGCGCGGGGCTCCATGCCGGCCGGCGCGCCGCCGCCGCGGGGGGCGCATGGCTCAGGCGGGGCGGCCCGCGGGGGCGCACATCCTCCCCGGGGCGCGGGCCGGCGGCGGCGCCTCTGGGAGAGCCCGGCGGGGACGGCGGCGAGGCCCGCGGGGACCGGGCGGCCGGCCCGGGGTGGGGGGCCGCGGCGGGGCCGGAGGAGCGCGTCTCTCGCCTCCGGTGGGAGCCCCGCGCCCGGGCCCGGCGGGGTCCGGGGACAGGAGAGGCGGGGCGCCGGGGCCGGTCCGCGCCCGCCGGGTCGGGGTGCTCGGTGGCGGGGCTCCGGGGCGGAAGGCGCAGCTCAAGTTGGCGGGGCTCCGTCTGAGCGCTCGCCCTGCAGACGGCCGCCGCGGAGGGAGGGGGAGGCGGGCGCGGAGGCGCGGGGCGAGGGCGCGTGGAGCGCGGGGCGCGGGGCGCGCGGCGGCGGCGCGGCGCCGAGGAGGAGGAGGAGGCGGGGGATCCCGGGCCCCGCCGCCCGCGCCCACCGCGCCCGCCGCAGAGCCGCCTCCCTCCGCGCGTCCCCGCCTCCCGGAGCGGGTCCCAACTCCGCCCGCCCGCCCGCCCGGCTCACGTCACCCGCGTCCCCGCCCCTGGCAACCGGAGCCGAGCCCGGTCCGCCCGGCTGCCGCTCTCCGGGCCGCCTGGCGGGGGCCGCCGCGCCGCGCAGGCCGTGCCGCCGGGGCGTCAGCGAGCGAGCGGGGCCCGGCCGCCCCCTCCCCGGCCTCCGCGCCCGTCCGCCCGCCCGGGTCTCACCTTGGGAACGGCCCCGGAGAGGCCGTGGGCTCCGATTGGACCGCCGCCGCCGGATGGTGTTGCCACGGTAACGGGATGGCATGCGAAACAGTTCGCGGTTCCGACCCGGTTTGGTTCGGAGTGAGCCCGGCGGACCTGGAGGGCTGGTGTGGGGAGGAGGGGGCCGCGCAAAGTTTCCTCCGGCGGAGGGAGTGCGCGCAGGGCCAGCGGCGGCCCGTGGGGGGCGGGCGGGAGTGTCCACAGCTGGGATGCCTTCTCTTCCCGCCTTCTGGCCCCCCACCGAACCCCCCATGTCCGCCTGGGCCCGCAGCAGCTCTAAGGGAAGGAGTCAGTGTGTCCCTGCTGAGAGCCAGCCCCTCTGCCCAGCCCACCCGCCTGACCCGGCAGCATCCGCGGTCCAGGCCGCCTGTGGCCACCCCTGCCCAGCGGCCTCCGGCCAGGCCCTGGTCCGCAGAGGCCAGGACTGGGCCTCCGGGACTGGGCCGCCAGGACTCCCGCCACCTCAGCTGGCAGTCCGCTCCCTGGTCCGGCCCTTTCCCTGTCCCCAGACCGCCCTGCACCTCCTGGTTCGGCTGCATTTGAAGACTGAGACCTGACCAGCTGAGGAGAGACCCCTTCCCTGGGAGACTCACCAGGAGTGCCGACCTGCTGACCCTGAGAACCTCAGACAGACAGAGCCCCCTGCTCCCAGCCTCAGAGCCCCATGCCCGAGCGCGATGCCAGCCGGCGGCTGGAAATGCTACCAGGGCTGTTCTTACGCAGCAAATGGGGTCACGGAGGAAATGGGGTCACGGAGGGGAAGGCGGGGTTAACTAACGGGGCCTGACCCCAGCAGGTGCCGCCCCTGCAGAGCCTGAACCACCCAGCCCCGCGCCCCCGAGAGGGGCAGCTGGTGCCTGAGGCTGGGCCGGGGACGCCCTGGCAGGCCCTTCACCCCGCTCCCCGGCCTGCAGGACTCTCTCTCCCAGCCAGGAGGACGGACGGGCAGCCGCCTCCCCAGAAAGAGCCTGAGGAGGGGCAGGAGGCGGGCGTGTGGCGGGAAAGCCCACATCTTCACCTAGGACCCTGGCTGCTAACTGTCCTCTCCCCTCTGACCTCAGCTTCGCCTTCGAGAAAACGTTTTCTCTGTTCCCTTCCACACGGGGATTCCGTGGGGACGGCCTCACAGTGTCACGTCTGTGGCTCCCAGAAGCCGGGGCTGTCTCCCTGAGGGTGGGGACCAGACCCCAGGGAGGGAGACAGGAGGTCATGGCACTACTGGGCCCAGGAGAGCGGGGAGCCTGCTCGGCCGCCACCTAGCGGGGCCGCGTGGGAGTGCAGCTCCCGGAGGCCCTCCAGGCCTGGGTGACCCTGGAGGCGGCTGCAGGGCCGGTGGGCTGGGGCTGCTAATCTGCTGACCTGCTGCTCCAGGGCCTGGGCAGCCTCCGGCGAACCTGCAGACCCCCCTCACTTCAGTGCGCTCATACCAGCCACGGGAGTGGGAGCCAGGATGAGGAAAGGCATTATGAAACTTTTCATTAAAAATGTTTGACAGCAATGTGTGCTCTCTTTATTACTACGCTAGGCAGTTCCTCAGCCACAGCCGTCACATCTGACAGTGAGAGGAGAGGGCGCTGGCAGTCCCAGCTACGGTCACCGCTGCTGTCTGCTGCCTACATTTGTAATGGAAGGGCCAGGGCTAGGGGTAAGGGCAGGGGTAGGCGCAGGGGTAAGGGTAGTGTTAGGGTTAGGGGTAGGGGTAGGGGTTGGGCTGGGGTAGGGGTAGACCTGGGGCAGGGTTAGGGGTAGGGGTAAGGTTAAGGTTAGAGTTAGGGGTAGGTTTAGGGGTAGGGGCAGGGGTAGGGGTAGGGTTAGGGTTAGGGTTAGGATTAGAGGTGGGGTTAAGGATAGGGTTAGGGGCAGGTGTAGGGGTAGGGTTAGGGGTAAGGGCAGGGGTGAGGTTAGAGGTAGGGGTAGGTTAGGATTAGGGTTAAGGTTAGGGGTAGTGGTGGGGTAGGGTTTTGGTTAGGGTTAGAGGTGGGGGTGGGGGAAGGGTTGGAGTTAGGGTTAGGGGTGAGAGTGGGGGTAGGGTAGGGGTAGAGTTAAGGTTAGGGTTAGGGGTGGGAGTAGGGGTAGGGTAGGGATGGGGTGAGGTGGGGGAAGTAGGGTTAGGGCTAGGGTTAAGGGTAGGGTGGAGGTAGGTGTAGGGATGGGGTAGAATTGGGGTTAGGAGTGGGGGTAGGTGTGGGGCGGGGGTAGGGTTGGAGTTAGGGTTAGGGGTGAGAGTGGGGGTAGGGGTAATGGTAGGGTTAGGGGTAGAGTTAAGGTTAGGGTTGGGGTAGGTGTAGGGTTAGGGGTGGTGGTAGGGTGGGGGTAGGGTTAAGGGTAGGGTGGAGGTAGGTGTAGGGATGGGGTAGAATTGGGGTTAGGAGTGGGAGTAGGTGTGGGGCAGGGGTAGGGTTGGAGTTAGGGTTAGAGGTGAGAGTGGGGGTAGGGGTAATGGTAGGGTTAGGGGTAGAGTTAAGGTTAGGGTTAGGGGTGGGAGTAGGGGTAGGGATTGGGTTAAGGTTAGGGTTGGGGTAGGTGTAGGGTTAGGGGTGGTGGTAGGGTGGGGGTAGGGTTAAGGGCAGGGTGGAGGTAGGTGTAGGGATAGGGGTAGAATTGGGGTTAGGAGTGGGGGTAGGTGTGGGGCAGGGGTAGGGTTGGAGTTAGGGTTAGAGTTCAGAAAAAGAGAGATGTGATCTCCCCCACCCAAGTGTAAGGACCTCTTGGAATCTCTCCACCTCCTCAGGGTCCAGACCCCGGGACGAAGGCAGGGCCAGCCAGGGGTCACCAGGGGCTTCTGAGGCCAGCTGGCTTCAGTGCGACACCAGAGGGGGGCGCAGAGAGGACAGAGTCCGAAGGTGCTCCCCAAGTGTGCACAGCCTCCTGACGCTGTGGGGGAGGCTCCTCCCGCACCCCGACCCCACCCCCCAACCCCATCCCCCGGCCCGCCCAGAAGGCTGGCTGAGGGCAAGGCCCCTCCTTTCCCTGCCCACGACCCCCACAGCCCCATCCGCAGGAGACACCCCTTCACTGCGCTGCCGTCCCGATGGGAACGCTGCCATCTCTTCCCGCTGCGAGTCCCCGGGCCTCAGCTCTGCTTCTCTCTGAACTCAGCTGCTCCCGGAACTCACCTGGTTCACGTTTCCTCTCCCGGGACCTGGAGGTGAGCATGGCATCTGGGACCCAACACACGCTGTCACACACACACACACTCACACACACACACACACACACTCTCTCTCTCACGCACACTCACACACACACACACACACTCTCTCACACACACACACACTCTCTCTCTCACACACACACACTCACACACACACACTCTCACACACACACACTCTCACACACACACACTCTCTCACACACACACACATTCTCTCTCTCTCTCACACACACACACACACACACTCTCTCTCTCATACACACACACTCTCTCTCACACACACTCTCTTTCTCTTACACACACACACACACACACTCACTCTCACACACTCTCTCTCTCACACACACACACACACACTCTCTCTCTCTCTCTCTCTCTCTCTCTCTCTCTCACACACACACACACACACACACACACACCCAGGCACACACTTCAGATGTCCCTACTGTAGGACATCCCGGGCCCCCTGCCCAGCCTGTTACCCCCACTGGGAGGAATCTGCCCGGAGGTCGGAGCCCCAGCCTCTCTGGCCCTCCCCCCGCCCTGCTGTCTGCCCAGGAGGCCCTTCTGCAGAAGCCATTGCTCTGAGGGTCCTCGGGGACCAACCGGAAGCTCTAAGTCCCATCCAGAGGCAACTGGACCTGCCGCTGTTCATCCCCCCGGGATGCAAAAGCGTCCTAAGCATGACATTTGATCACGTGGTGAAGTGTGTGATGCTTCATGAAGGGGGAATACTGGTTAAAATTAGCACATGTCTCTTTAACTCAGCCCCACTAAGACCTTCCCTGGCCCTGCCTTCCCACCAGGGATTGGTGCTGGGGGAGGGGGCCTCCAGGTCCTTCTTCCTCCTCCTCCCAGGTGAGGTGCCCAGTGCCCTGCCCGGAGCTGCTCCCAACCAGGCCGCTCGGGGCTGCAGACCCTGCTGGGTGCGAGGGCCAGGCCGGGCCGGAGGCACAGAGATCCGACAGCGGCCTTGCCAGGGCCGCCCACACACAGCGCCGGGTCCCCCTGGCCGCCCACACACACGTGGATCAGAGAAGGCGCGGCCCTGGGCCCGCTCCGGGCAGCCATGTCCTGTCAGGCGGGCCCGGTGGACAGGCACCCGGGGCCGTGACCTGGCCCAGGTCAGAAACCCCTCATGTCCGGCTTTTCAGGGTTTCTGTGCTAAAGGGTTTTCCCTCCATTTAGACTGAACGGAGAGTTTGTTTGCATTGGAAAGCAGCGTGGCCCCATCCGCACACAGGCCCTGGGCGCTGTGGGGCCGGGGGGGTGGGTGTCCAGCTGGAGAGAAACCAGGAGGGTGGGGGGCTCCCAGGAAAGCCGGTCAGGGGCTGGGGTGACCGGGTGGGGCGGGGCCCGGGAGCCTTAGCTCCTCCCACAGTGATGCCAGGAGCAGCGGGACCTTTGGTCCCGGGCTGTGGCTCCACTCCGAGGAGTTGGGGAGCGATGGATGGGCTCTGTCTTGGCTGTGGGCAGGCAGGGTGAGGGGGCACCTGTGTGTGTGTGTGTGTGTGTGTGTGTGTGTGTGCAGGGGGGGGGGGGTGGAACCAGGACAAAGAACTGGGACAAGGTGACTAAGGAAAAAGGAGGTGGGAAAGTCCCTCCTCCTCCTTCCCTCTCCCCTCCTCCCCCCTCCCCCTCCCTCCCTCCCCCTCCCCCCTCCTCCCCTCTTCCTCTGCCTCCCCCCTCCGCCTCCCCCCTCCCCCTTCCCTTCCCCCTCCCCCTCCCCCTATCCCCCTCCCCTCTCCCTTCTCTCTCACACACACACACACTCTCCCTCCCCCCTCCCCCCTTCCCCCTCCCTCCTCTCCCCTCCCCTCTCCCTTCTCCCCCCTCCCCTCTCCCTCCTCCCTCCTCCCTTCTCCTTCCTCCCTCCTCTCCCCTTCCTTTGCCTCCCTCCTCTCTCCTCCCTCTTCCCTCCTCCCCCCCTCCTCCCCCTCCCCCTCCCCCTCCGTGGGCAGAGGCACTGCCTCAGGAGGGCGGGCACCAGAAGGAGTGCCAGTG